GCGGTGGCGTCGAGGAAATCCTGTGCGATACAAGCGTCGAACAGGCTGGAGGTATCGATCCACGAGCCGCAGCGCATCGGGATGTCGTTAGGCCATGTCCTGTCACATTCGTCTTGGCACAAGGCTACGCATTATAGTCAGAAAACATAAGCATCGCACACAAGGTACATCCTGATGAAAGGTGCGACGTACAGTCAAGCGCAGGCATGATCTTCTCGACGAAGATGGCGTGATCAGGCATTTCCACCTTGTCCAGCGGCATCTGGAGGGTGCACCGGCGCGAGATGTTGTTCCACAGGCCGGCCAAAGCGCTGAACCGTGTCCAGTGGTCGAGCTTGTGGTGGGAAGGCATTTTGGAACCGGAAAAGCTCCCCATATCCCCCGGCACTTCGTCTGTGTTCGACCCAGCATTGGCGGCCAGGAAGAAGTGCGCAATCTCCTCGACGAGAAGATCGACATCCACGTGAAGTTCCCGCACGTCATATCCATCATCCGAGTGCACAAAAGGAAAACCTTGGACACCGTATGCCGAGGACATGAACATGGTGCGGTACATATCGCTGTCGGCTACAAACAAACAATGTGATGAGCGGTCAGCACCGTACAACCAACAGACAAATGTATAGGACATACAATGCAGGTTCAGCGCATTCGGAACAAGCTTACGCATATGTTCTATCGGAAAGCAGTCAGTCATTCAGCCGCCGCCAGATACCAACGCATCCGGTGTCAGATACGGAAGTCCATCGATATCATCCAATGACGTACGCATGTGGGTCTGAGGGGATCTCGCGCGGGTGCGCAGGATCCCCTGAACCCACTCGACGCATGGTGCGACGCATACATATGGCTGTCAGGGGATCTCGCGCGGGTGCGCAGGATCCCCTGGGACGTCCTCGGTGCATGGTGCGACGTACACATATGGGTCTGAGGGGATCTCGCGCAGGTGCGCAGGATCCCCTGGGACGTCCTCGGTACATGGTGCGACGCATACATATGTGCCTCAGGGGATCTCGCGCGGGTGCGCAGGATCCCCTGGGACGTCCTCGGTACATGGTGCGACGCATACATATGGCTGTCAGGGGATCTCGCGCGGGTGCGCAGGATCCCCTGAACCCACTCTACGCATGGTGCGACGCATACATATGTGCCTCAGGGGATCTCGCGCGGGTGCGCAGGATCCCCTGGGACGTCACAACCTAATATAAAAACATATGGACATGGGAGACTCACTGCAGAGCTTTTGCACCGAGAAATACAACTCCACGAGTGTGTGCCTGATGATCATTAGAGGCACCTCTGTGTCGGCGTTGTTGAGGCCAAAAATCGAGTCTTCCGCGGGCTGCGAGGGGTTGTCGTCACCGCGATACCGCATGACGAACCTGTGCGCGACCTCGGCTTCAAACAGGAATGTGAGGGCCGTGATGACATTAGAGGCGCGATGCAGCATCACGTAGCCGGCTGCGATAAGCAACTCGCGCGGCCAGAAGCTGTCGTCCGGGATGTCAATCACATGTACGTAGTCGAGGAGTGCGTCTGCCACAACCGTAGCCCATTTGTCGTCGCGTGGAAGGTCATTGGCGGGAGGGACGTTGCAGCGTACGAGGATGAACCCGAGTATCGACAGGATCAGCTGAGGCATGTTGGTTTCGGCTTCGGGGGTGCTCGTGAGTGGCCTGGGCGCGTCGAACTCGCCTTCCTGCACCTCTCGAGTACGCTTCTGTTGTCGCCGACGGGCCGGACTGATGCTGTGGTCAGGCTTGCGTTTTGTCAACGCGGCCTGGTTGGGCGGCGGCAGGCTGGCAGGTGGCTCAGCGGCAGGGGGGGAATCCACACGCTCGCTGATGTCTGGCCCGGGCATGCGCTTCGAGTTGCCGCGTGCCAGACCAGACTGCCCGTCGTCGTCCTGGTCCATGTCGTCGTCCTCGTCCATGGCGTCATCCTCGTCCATGGCGTCGTCCTCGTCCTCGTCCTCGTCGCGGGGTGTGTGGGGGGCCTCGATGCCTTTCGACTTGCGCCGTGACGCGAAGAACTGTCTCTCCGTCTCCTCCTCAGCCTCGGGGTCGTCGCTGTCTTCAAGCAGTTCGAGGATTTCCATGGCACGGTCGTGGTGGCTCTGGAGTGGCTCGTATACGTCCATTTCGCGGGCGTGCTTGACTATCCGCTCTATGTTGGCCTCAACCGTGTGCTTCTGCAGCTGCTGGATCCAGTCGTCGACTGAGTCGCCGACGAGGTCATTCAACCGTTCCATACGCTGCACTTGCCGATGACTTGCCGACTCCTCATCCGCTTCGTACGCAGTCGCGGCAAAGTCGGGGTGTCGGAGCTTCGTGTGCGGCGCGAACTCGCGGCCTTTGCTCTCCAGAACATGCAGCAGATCACCCACAAGATCACCAGCGGGCACCCCCGACAGGTCGTTGGTGAGCTCGGCCCACCAAGGATATTCAGTGTCCTCGTCGAGAGTACTGCTGAACGTGAGGTCGGGCGCGTCGGCAATGTTCTGCCACTTGTAACTGTGGCCCTCGAACGTCGAGACGTCATTGAACTGACCGGGGGTCTGTTTCTCGAGCTGAACGGAGCGATGGTGGTTGCGAGCGATCAAGAACTTGCACACCTGGGATGGTCGATGAGCATGCGGATACTAGTAACGGAGCGCGTGAACGTACGTTCCACAGCTGCGTCAGCGCGACCTTCGCAGCATGATCGACGGTGGCGACGCCGGCCGCAGTGCTCTTGCCCTTGCCCCTGCCCTTCTTGGCCTGCATTTCGGGCGGCAAAAGAAAGCGATGCTTCAGGAACGACTGCATCAGCTTCGTCAATGCCTGTTCGGCTTCCGCGGCCTGCGCACTCGGAGGACTGGCCGCCGTCGTTCGTCTCGCCTTCCCAGTCGCCTTTCCCTTTGGCGCCGACGATGATGGGTCCGCTAGTTCGTCAACGTCCATGGCGTTGTCGGCCGTATCGCCAGGCTTGTCGCCGCCGCTGCCACCGGCCGCGCCGCTTCCCTTCTGCCATGGGGTGCCAGGACCGTTCTTCTGCTTGGTAAGGACGAGACCCATCTGGTCCAGCCCTTTCTTCCACAGAAGGAGCTGCGGATTCGGTTCGCCGTCCACGTACCACTGCGGGACAGGGTGCGCATCCCACTCCGGCTTCGGCTTGTCGAGGTCCCACCACTGGAAGTGGGCGTGTTTCGCATCCGGAGACCCATTCCTGTCGATAAAGGAGTCCATGAGCAGACGATACTTCTCGCGGAACTCGCCGATAGGCTTCGACCACCACTTTGACCCTGGGTCGTTGTACAGGAGTTGCGCAATGGCGACCTCGTTCAGCAAGTAGACAACCATTGGAACCAAGACGCGAGTCGCAGCCTTGGGCACAGCCGCAGCGGTCACGCTGCCCACGCCCTCCACGGTGTCCGCCTCAGCGATGTCAGCGGTGAATCCCGCGACGGGGCCCGCAGACGCGTTCCCTTTCTTACCGGCAGCCGCAGCGGGGGCGGCGCTCTTCTTCTCCGCCGTGCTGGCTGTCGTGTGCATGAGCGCACGCATGGCGGGGGTGTCAAGACTGATACCGGTGTCCTGGAGGAGGTCAGGTGTCTTCATCGCGATGGCGTCGGTGACGCATCTGAGGTTTGACGAAAACATCTTGACGTGCTGCCTGATGTCCAGCTTGGGGAAGACGGTCCCTGCTGGCGACACCGCGAATTGCTTCACAGCGTTGTCATGGTCCTGCGCGAGGGCGCTGGAGTCCGCGCGCGCCTTCTCCTCTGACTTCGCCTTCCCCTTCCCCTTGCCGTTGCCTTTCACGGTGAACTTGGCCGCCTTGGATACCACAGTGGGGACGTCCTGCGTGAGCGGCATGTAGGTCATCCTGAGCGAGTCCCGCGTCAGGGCACGGAACATCGAGACGGATGCCGGCGGGCTACCAGAGCAGTCCTGGAGCAACGCGACGAAGGTGTGTCTATCGCCGAAGAATTCGCGCGCAAGCTGCACACCGAACCATCAACATACAGAGACAAAGAGGTAGGGAGCGCAAACCACGTACTGCCCAATGAACGCTGTCGGACTGCGTGAAGTCCCGGACCGAGCCAGTCTTGAGGTACGGCGTATTGACCGTCGCCATCAGCGCATGGAGCGTCTTGTCTGCCTCAACCTTGTCCTTGGTGTTGGTGGCCGCCGACGCGTTGGAATTGATATGCGGTGAGTACGCCGTCGGTTCGAACATGTGCGCAACCTGAAGATAGGGACTTTGAGCCACCACACGCACACCACCATGACGGTACCACACTCACCCGTTCCCACCCTCGCGAGTACATCCCGACCTGGGCGCCGACCAGCGAGATGGCATGGCACGTCAACAGCGGCAGCTCCGGCGTGAACTCAGCATCATCCAACACCGTCCAGTTGTAGTACGCGTATGCGAGACGGCCAATGACATGTTCCATATGCTTCTTGTGCGCCTTGACGCGTTTCTTAGCCCAAGCGCGTTTCTTGCTCCGAGGCGTCTGCGGGTCTCCTTCCGTCGCCAGCAGATCCTCATCATCGTCCTCCTGACCTAGCGCACCCCCCGCCTTCAACCGCAGCTGGTTGATGAGCGCAGAGCTGTATTGGTTCATCATGGAGAAACCCTGCTTGCAACGCACCCCGAGGGAGGCGGCATCCACGAGGTGGTCGGTCGCGAACTGGTCGACGGTGTCTAGCATCTCGTCGGTCCATAGCTCGTAGTTGGGCAACTGCGCGCCGCGCGTGTACTCGCGCTGAAGACGGTCGGCCGACCGGGCGACCGTCGACGAAATCGCACCATCCACCTCGTCCAAATCGTGCGCGACGGCGTACATCGCGAGTTCCGTCTTCCGGTCGGCTGCAGCATTCTCGGACGCGTTGAGCGGGGCTTGCTTCATTCGCAGGTACCTATCCCTGGACACGCGTGCCTTGTCGTATTCGTCGCAGATCTCCTCGACTTCTTTGATGCCGTGGAAAGACTCCTTGGAGCCGATGACACCCATAACCCACTGCATCCGCATCATCGCGAAGAGCGTGATCTGGGTGTGTACCAGGTATCAGCACCCATAACGCACTCAGACAGCCCGAGCACTTACCCCACCTCCTTTCGCAAACACGCGTCGCCAAGAGCTGACGGCGAACAGCGCGCACCGGTCGTAGTAATGACGCCCGAACCCCCGCGTTTTCGTGGGATCGGACCCATCGTTGTACAGAGGGAGCGAGGCGTCGAGGATGGGCGTGAGTGAGCACAGGAAATGCCGGATGGCGGGGTTGCGGTACATGTGCGTGAGGGCCGTCTGCAGCATGCTGCCGGACGTGCCTGGTGGCCGGATGTTGTGGACGATGGTACTTAGCCGGATGTGCGCCTGAAGCAAGTCCTTGGCCGACCCGGTGGATCGCCATTTGTACAATTCGCGCATGTTCTGGCGCATTTGCTCCTCCGGCGTCTCCCCCTTGCTCGGATACGACTTGTTCTGTGCATGCCACTCCGCCGCTTTCCTGTCGCCCAGCGACCCTGAACAAAGCAGGTTAACGTGCGTCCAACCACGTACACGCCCCCGCCGTCACAGACAGCGCACTCACCATACTTATATACGACGCATAGCCAGCATCCGTGCTTGCGAAGGCGGTCGTACAGCTTTTCGCGCTTCGTGCGCAACCCCTTCGACCTCGGACTGTTCTCTCCTATCGCGGCGAGCTCCGCATCGGTTTTCGCCATGGTCTCCACGTACGACTGGAGCATCTGCTTGCTCGCCTCGATCCGATGCTGCCCGATGAGCGTGTACGCGGCGTGTGTTCGCGGCGCGTCGCTGTGCTCCCCCGCGCCGAGCTCCCGTGGCTTGAGCTTCACCCACGGCAGTTGTTCGGGATGGTGCCAGTCTTGGTTCGCGGGGAAGTCGAACGCCTCCTCGGCAATCGCAACCTCAACCCGATGGGGATGCAGTAGATTTTGGTACGTACTCGTGTTGAAGTTCGCAACCAATGCGTCGACGTTTTGAGTGTCCAGGGACCGCGTGCTGAACGTTTTATGGACACTTACCAAGTTACACTCCGTCTGGAACATGTCCAGCGTCGGTAACAGCGCATACCCATACATGGCCTGCGACATCTGGCGCGAGTACTCCAGGTATATCTCCTGCGCGGCCGTCTGCATCTCGAGAATCTGGTAGTACGTACATCATGCCCATGTCAGCGTAGAAACGGCACCACACAGCGCAAGCGAAGCGCACCTCCGACGCATCCTCACCCAGGTCTTCCAGGGCTCGGTCGATCTCCTGTTCCGTCGACGACGGCCCGGCCACAGCTTGACTACTTGACGAAGCCATTGTGAGCAGTGCGCGGTAGTACTGTCAAGCAAACCCTGTGAAGTGCGCAGACGCGGATGAGGGGAAAAGATCAGAGAGAGCACAGCGCACCTTCCAGGGACCCACGAGCATCACGCAGCATGGCCACCATGAGCTCGGAAAGGGGACCGCGAGGCCGCGCGCGTGATGATGCCGAACGCGCGGTTTTCTGGAAAGCAGGGACACATCAGAAAACTCGCAAATGTTCCAGTCGGACGCAACATAGACCGCACCGCGCACACGTGCAAAAACCCCAGAGAGTACGGGGCGCACTCAATAAACATCGATCTGGGGGATGTCGCGCGATCGCGCGAGATCCCTTTTTGGGCCGTCCTGACATTCACACCTCAACATATGCGCGCACAGGGGGTAGGAGTACTACTACATGAAGATCGACAGCGCAGCGCACGACGCACTGATTTACCGACATCAAACGCTGCCTCCACCGCAAGGCTCGGCTGATGCAACACGAGGCCGACATGGCGCACCGCGCAAACTCGCCGCTTCATTCTCATTACCAAAACGCGAAGCGACTCCCATGTTGCTCGCACTTCATCATCGCGCTCACACTTCATCATTGCATTCGCACCTCATCATCGCGTTCGCACCTCATCATCGCGCTCGCACTTGCACAGTAGCTGATCGACGATCCCTGCAGATCCTCGTGCCGAAGTTGCGCCTGCCAATCGGTAAGATTCAATTATGTTCGGACCGCACCGAGGTCAGCAGATCAAGATAGAGCGCTTCTCGATCAATCGGCGATTGGCCGATCGCGTCGCCGCTACGTGGGAGCCGCGACCACCGAGCGTCTCGGACTTAGGACAGCGCGCGGCACTTGACTCTGTCGCTCCCCCTTCCTTCTTTCATCTGGCAACCCCTCCTACAACATGGTCGGCACCCTGACTTTCCAAAACCTTAGCGCGACCTTGAAGAAGTTCCACAAGGACTCCGGACTCGCAGCGGCTGGCAAGCGACCCGTCACCCCATTCTTCTGCGAGGATCCGCCGGACGCACTGGAATGGCAACCCGAGGAGATGAAAGCGCTGAATAAGCTGATCAAGGCGTTCGTCGACGAGCGGTGGACTCTCCAGGCCGTCGAGGTCGTCATCCAGGACCACATCATCGTGCGTGAATCACAGGCCCATCGAGCGCCGCCCTGACTGACATGATTCCACAGACCGATGACTGGTTCACAGTCCTCGAGAATGTATCCATCACCCGGCTGCCTTATGTCGAGGCGGCCATGCAGTATGTGAGGTCTACCCGCGAAGGCGAGGTGCGCACTCTCCAGCGCGTCCTCATCGACATGAAAATCGAAGCTGTCCCTTCAACCATCACCGACGACTTCACCATGCCCCACCTCAACATCTTTATGCCATGGATAGGTAAGTCGTCCCAATTGACGCATTTCGCGCAACTAGCTCATCACACGTTGATTCACAGCCGGTGATCGGTTGAGGAGTGAGTAGCGCATAGTAGCACTCATCTATGGGCTAACATGCGTGTGTGTGCAGTTTCCAACGTCCTTGAGCCCGACAGTGATCGCAGCGTCTCACCGGAGTCCGACCGCCCCGACAGCCCTGCGCGCAACAGCGCCGCTCCGGATGAGGGGGAGGCAGTGGACGCGCAGGTCGAGGATGTGCTGGGCGACGACGCGCAGCTTGAGGATGCGACGGGCGGTGACGCGCAGGTCGAGGACGCGCCGGGCGAGGATGCGGATGGGGCAAAGGACGCGCTGGGCGACGACGCGCAGGTCGAGGACGTGCTGGGCGACGACGCGCAGCTTGAGGATGCGACGGGCGGTGACGCGCTGGTCGAGGACGCGCCGGGGGAGACTGAACCGGGCGAGGACGGTGAGGACCGCGATGACCGCAACGACGACGACGAGGCGACCGGTGAATACCTCGCACGACGTGCAAGCCCCGCCACGACTGACATCCATGCAGCCCGCCTGCAACACCACCCGTATGCGCAACGCGCACGCGAGGCCAACGAGGCGCGGGAGCGTGAAGACCGACCCGCCCTGCCCCATACGAGCGCGTCGCCTGTTGACGGCAAGGTCGAGGTCGAGGCGGCAGATGAGAGCGAGGTCGAGGTGGAGGAGGCAGATGAGAGCGAGGTCGAGGTGGAGGAGGCAGACGAGCTCGTCGACAGCGAGGACGACGAATCGCCGACCGGACCCAAGGGCAAGGGGAAGGCCCGAGGGGGAAAACGCATCAGCAGCAATTCGGCGCGGAAGGCACGGGCAGCAGGCAAGGGCAAGGCGTCGGCCGTGCCCAAGCGTGAGGACCCGGAGGTGGACAACTCTGCGCCCAAGTGGGAAGGGCAGTGGACCCTTCTCATGCCCGCAACTGAGAAGAACGACAACGTGCACGCGAAGGTGAGTTTCTGTTACGACAACACGTACTTCGCTAACTCTCTTACAGTTCATGGGCAAGTGGCGATGTGCGCAGTGCAAGAAGAGAGGCGCCACCGAATGCGTCATCCGCGGCCTCGGACGCAGGTGCGTCGCCTGCATCACCGGGCATAGATCTCCATGCGACATTAAGGTAAGTACAAACCTCTCTGCAAAACCGTTTAGGACACTGATTAAAGACTATGAAGACCTACTACGAAGCAGAGGCCGTCTACGTGAACGACCAGAAACACGGTCGATACGCTGACCTTCCCCCCGCGCGCTCGACCACTGCCCCCACGACCTCAAAGATCAACCCGCGCAAGCGGATGGCGGTCTCTTCGAGCGAAGAAATGTCGGACAGCCCGGGCGAGGACGACATCGTAAGTCGCACTCCACAAAGCGGCAAGGCGAAGACGGCTGCGAAGCCCAAGACGAAGGTCGCCGCACCCGTCTCCAGGACGTCGGCGAAATCGGCGACGGCCACGCCGAACAAGCGCAAGAAAGTCGACGCCACGCCGGAGGCCAAGCCGTCATCGGCGAAGATATCGGCGCGCGCATCAAAGCCTGGGCCGTCCAGAAGACGGCCGACAACAAGAGCACGCGCGCCGAGGCAAGGGAGACGATAACCATCGACTCTGACTCCGAGGATGACCAGCCCCTACGCGCCTTAGTTGCCGGTGCGGCGAGCAGCCCCGACGCTCCCGAAGACGCGATGGATATCGATGAGCCGCAGGTCGTCGACGGCAAAGGGAAGAGTAGGGCGGGCGACCTTGGGCAGCTGCCCGAGGCGGTCCAGAACGACAGCGAGCCAGACGACCACGGTTCCCCGTGGCACGGCGATCGGAACGCGGTAGTGACGATGG